AAAAAAAAAAAAAAAAAGAGAGAGAGACATAAACTGAGTAACAGCATAAATCAATTTGTAGACTAGGAACAATGAAGCGGTACAATATTTCTATTCTAATCTATCTTCTGTTTATCAATGATTCCAAATAAAACCTAACATTCTCAAATACCCTACAGAAATGACAATTCAAATAACCAAAACAATTCCATTAAGTCAATTTCTATTTCCTTCAATAATAAATCTTTCTTTTAAATAGTATCAAGCGTTGGGGATAAGAATACACTTTAGACACTACCTTACAGTAATTTTTTAAAGTATATTTTAACTACCTATGAAAATAGATCTGGGAAACTTTTTTTTTTAACCTCATCCTGGACTCCAAAGGCACAGGAAAGACATTTTCAACCATTTTCTTTCTTATTTATTTATTTATTTATTTTTGAGACAGGATCTCACTCTGTTGCCCAGGCTGGAGTGCAGTGGCACAATTTTGGCTCACTGCAGCCTTGACTTCCACGGCTCAGGCAATCCTCCTGGTCTCAGCTGGGACCACAGGCACACACCATGGCCAGCTATTTGTATTTTTGGCAGAGATAAGGTCTCGCCACGTTGCCCAGGCTGGTCTGGAAGAACTCCTGAGCTCAAGCAATCTGCCCACCTTGGCCTCCCAAAGTGCTGGAATTACAGGCATGAGATACTGTGCCCAGTTCAACTATTTTCTTATGCCCTATAGTTTCTGAACCCAAAATTTTGTTTTACCTGAAGATGATGTAAGCTGTATTTGACTCTTCAAAGAAAGACAGGATGGCAATTCAAACACTCAAATGCTTTTTTTCTAAAGAGACGGGGTCTCATTCTGTCACCAAGAGTGGTGTGCAGTGGCACAATCACAGCTCATGGCAGCCTCAAACTCCTGTGCTCAAGTGATCCTCCCAAAGTGCTGGGATTACAGGCATAACCCACCATGCCTGGCCCTCAAATGCTCTTTAAAAAGGAAAAAAAAAAAAAAATCCCTCATGTCAAAAAGATTAGTTTCTTGAGGAGACAGTCAAACCAAGAAACAGCGAATCTAATACAATAATTGCTATAATCAACGAACACTGGAAACAGAAACAAATACAGAGTTTGCCTGGGAGAACCAGGGAAAGCTCTGACTGAAACACACACCTAAAATAATTTGTCCAATGAAAAAGGAAATAATAGGTTTAGGACCATGATGATCGAAAACAGCATGCATGGAGGTTGGGAGTGGTATGAATGTGGATATGCAGACAGGCAGATAGGGGTCAGAATGTAGCAAACTTTAGATAACTATTAATATCAACTTTACCTTCAGGATCAGAAACTCAACCTTTTTTCCCCACTACACACATGAAGGATGAGACACATTCACAACAGGCATACTGTAAACTACTCCAGAAATAAAGTAATCTGAGGACCACATAAATCCCTGAGCCCTCCTCTACTCCTTCATCCGCTACCCTCCCAGAAAGCTGCAACTCCCTCCCTTTCTCTCCCATTAAGAAAACTTATCTGGTCAGGCGTGGTGGCTCACACCTACAATCCTAACACTTTGGGAGGCTGAGGCGGGAGGATTGCTAGAGCTCAGGAGTTTGAGACCAGCCTGGGCAACATAGTGAGACCTCGTCTCTACAAAAATTTAAAAATTAGCCAGGCATGATGGCACATGCCTGTAGTCCCAGCTACTTGGGAAGCTGAGGCCAAAGGATCGCTTGAGCCCAGGAGGTTGAGGCTGCAGTGAGCTGTGATGGCACAACTGCACTATAGTCTGGGTGAGAGTGAGACTCTGTATCAAAAAAAAAATATATATATATATATACACACACACACACACACACACATATACACACACACACACACACACACATATACACACATACACACATACATACACGAGTGTATCTGAATGCCGAATGCAAATGAGACTGATTTTGGAAAGCTAACCTTATCTATTCTAATGTCTAAGATTAAATTCAAAAAAAGAGTCAATAGTAAAATGAAATCACAGTGCTAGGCCCTCTTTCTTCTCTCTCCCTCTCTCACTCATTCCTATTGCTTTAAATATCTCTATATGCCAACTCCCCCCAAATGTATATCTCTATCCCAGGCCAGTCTTCTGAATTCCAGACTCACTCACTCTTATATGTATGCTCTCTCACACGCTTTTTCTCTCTTACACACACCCCCCCCCCCTCGAGACGTGGCACACCAGTTTGCTCATACTAGAAACCCAGGGGTCATTCCTAACGCCTCTCTTTCACCTCCCACCATCAAATCCTGGTACTCCAAACACAAACACATTTCCCAAATCTACATACTCCTTGTGCCGCTGCTGCTACCTTAACCCAAGTCAGTACTGGCTCTGAGCACTAAATATCTTCCCCTCTTTTTCCTTTTTCCTTTTTTTTTTTTTTTTTTTGAGATGAAGTCTCACTCTGTCACTCAGGCTGGAGTGCAGTGGCACCATCTTGGCTCACTGCAATCTTTGCCT